CCTAGGAACTGAAAATTAGAGGAAAAAGGTAAATTTTCACGTTACAATATATTCTATAAGATTGCTTACTAGGTTACTAGTCATGATAAAATGCAGGCATTTTGACGAGCTCGCTAATATAAAGAAAATAATCATGAACTTGACACTATGGTCACGTTACTTTGTGTTGATATGATATTGTTTCTTTTAATCATAGGTGTAATGATGAATCATGCTTTGAGAAACTCGAGCAAGCATGTTGAGATGTTTTTATTATAGAATGGAATAATGATAATTTTAAGAAATTGAATAGAAATGATTTTTTTTTTTCAATTGAATTTATAAGTAATAATCAATAATTAACTCTAGAACTGAAGTCTGTAATTTTGGAATCATCAGGAATTGATGGTATACTGAAACAAATAAAATAGGAAATTCATGATGTTTAAAAGAGGTAGACAGCGGATCCCAGTATAGGTTAAACATTTATTGAATTATATATAATAGTTTTCACTTATTGTGCGAAACACTCCAAGTTATTCGTATGATAATATATAGGCTTATGTAAGGACTACTTAGCCCATTGTAAACAGTTATCTACTGGATATATTCTCTTTTCCACATGTTTCAACGAAACCACACAAAACAATGCACCCACACTGAGCACGGAAAAACAGCACGCATAATCGAATCAGACACCCAGGGGGACGCAGCCACGCAGTCAAATGGCCAAACATGGACAAACCAAGGATTGTTTGACTGACTCGATGGTAGCTGGGTAGCCCAGGAACGAAGAGGAGACAAGTGGGAACGCTACAAATTGCCGATAACTCCTAGAAGTTTGACGTTGGGAGACCACGAAATTCATTCCACGAGATTCCTGATCAGCCTCTGACATGACGGAAATCCGTCGTTGCCGCCCATGGACGTCTACTAGCTTCATTGAGACGAATGGACCAAGATGATGTGACGTCATGACAGCAACTGCCAACAGCCATCATTTCCTATCGTTCAGCTGCTATAGAAACCTTGAAGGAATTTATGAGCCCGAAAGATTCCACCCCTATGCCTAGGACGAGGATACCTTTCGAGCCCAAAAAAGAACCCGCCAAAATTCCCACGACGATTGAAGGATGCCATGACCATCAGTCGTGAGTCGCTACCCCAAGAAGCCAGCAGTTTCCTTCGTTCATCTGCCAACTACCTCGAAGGAGTCTAGGAAATCTGAGATCCCAAAAGATTTCATCGCAATGCTCAGGACAAGGATACCTTCGAGCCCAAAAGGATCCTGCCGAACTTTCCATGACGATTGTTGGATGCCATGCCCAATCGTCATTCCCTACCCCCAAGCTGCCAGAAATCCCACCGCGAAGAGTCTGATTGAAATGCTTTAGTTGAATAGCCAGTGCCAGACTAAGTAAAGGTGTGAGTGTGCATTGTAGTCACTAAACTTTTGAGTGTGTGAGCTCACTTTTCAAGATTTATTAATTTCTGTAATTTGAGTATTTTAGATATAGGTTCTCCTCCATATATTTAGGTAGGTAGTAATTTAAAAACTGGGGTCCAGTTTCCTCGGAGAGAGGGGTCATGTCACGAGTAGAACATACGGTATATCAGTAATTTCGAACAATGAGGGTTTTATAAACATAAAGTGAATCAAATCATCCGTTGACCTTGAATTATAAAAACTGACCAAGGAACTCTCATGAGAAACGTGCATTTCTGATAAAATGATGTATATAAATATTGGATATGAGGGTTCCGAAGTTAGTCTGGTCTGGGGCTACTCTTGACTTGACAAGAGCTCGTCGTAATGGTCGTTATAATGTTAGTTGTTATTAGGTCTTTATATTCATTGTTGTTCATTCATAATTATTGTTATCGCTACCCATAATGTTTCATGCTTCAATACATATTGTTATCTTTGAATAATTATAGTGTCGTACTTTCAGTTACCCTTAAACTATTAGTGCCTATTTGAATATTATCTCTCGCAAAATATTAAGCCAAGCATAAACCCCTTTCAAAACGATATGGATGCCGTAACCACCTATTTATATCTTGTAAGACAGTTTTCATTATTTCAAGTGTTGAATATAAAAATGTGTTTTTATATGGGGCATCTGGCCAGGATTTGCGAACGGTCCAGCATGCTAAAACTGGACTGCCTCGGTTTGATCTCCAAATGGGGCGTTCCTTCGATATGGTGGAAACAACCCTTTAACTCTTGGTTGTGACAATATCAACTTCAATGAAAAAATTGGGTTTTTTGATACGCAACTGCAAGGAATTCAGGACCTTTGACTCCTTGAAAACCATTTATATCACACTGATCAGACGCAAATTAGAGTACTGCAGTGTCGTTTGAAATCCGTCTCATATGAAACATATATCTAGCCTCTAGCCTAGAAAATGTTTCGAAAAAAATTCTTGAGATATGCATATTTCAAAAAAACCAAAAAACATGGTGTGTATCCTGAGAGAGGTTATAGCTATGATTCATTGTTTGACGAGTTTCATATGATATCTCTAAAGAAATTCAGGCAAAGCCGAGATATGTGTTTCGCAAATAAAATCATATGTGGACAAATAGATTGTGCACCCTAGTGCATCATTTTGATTCTACCATATCTACTATATTTAGGAGTGTTAATAAGGTTCCTAGTGAAGATATTTTTTTTTTCTAACGTTCAAACAATTCCAAAAAGAGATTCTCCATTTCATTCAGAATTGATTCTGTTATATTTGTAATTATTCATAATGCTTATTGTTTACACCTCTAAATGGGCTTTAGGGCCTGCTGGATGTATTGTATCAATAAATGAATAAATGAATAAATCTGCAAATATGGTAGTATTTTACCTCTGATGAAACTCACTCTATATTCCTCACTAGGTTCAGAGGACAGTTCGTCAAATAGATTTCCTATGTATGAAACACAAATCATAATATCCTCATAAGAACCTTGTGTACTTCATGGGTTTTCATGTTGGTTCGAGCAAAACGAAACCATATCGAAGCGTCTCCATTTAATATTTTCGGTATCGAGTCATCAAGTTGTGTTCTCGATACTCCATGTGAAACACGCATTTCTTAAAATCTTTGAAAGAAATCAGTGACACTTGTTGTGCCAATGAATCAATGTCTCCAGCGACTGAAATCAACAAATCTATGGGAATTGTTACCGAAATCATAGGTATTTCCAAAAAAACTTCGATTATCAGATGTCGAGGGATAATGAACAGGAGTATCAAACTTTACTCGAGTACTGCTCGTAGTGGTGCAACGGCTTTCAGAGAGATTAGCTCTACAATTATTCCTAGCAGGATGAATCAACTTATCATGGCTTGGCTTGAGAAGATTAACGTACATGTCCCACATTAATTCTGATATTCTGTTCGTTGGGATTGAAACATCAATATCGTTCTTGGTTTTAGGAGGATGTTCCAAATTTAAAATTTCTTGATTAGCGGTGAAGGTTTGTGCTGCAGGAATATTTGTACACCTGTTGAAACTATTGACGTGCTCCTCTGCTCCAGTATAATGAGGTCGTCTACGAGAGAGTTATTCATGAATCTTGAGTTAGGAGGGGTATTATTCGCGAAAGCTGCATCATTATCCTGTTTGTTTACTAGCAGCCCTGTTCGCGCAATATAGAGCAAATTTCAAATCGCCAGCCAAAATAGTCAATTTCAGTCTTTCAATTTCATCCTCAGGTTCTTTCGCCGGAAGTCGGTTAATACGATTTGTGACATGGATTAGCCTCGAATACATTTTTTGAAACTCATTCTCGGAATTTGCTATCTTCAAATGTTTGAATACTCCCTAGTAATTCCGTAATTTTATTATGACATATCAATATCTCATTCTGAGGCTCAAAATGAATTATGGATGGCTGTGAAGAACCTTCCTGCTCAGCCTGTGAAGCGGTTCTCAATGAAGCACGTTTTTCTTGTACCGTGGAATTACCTAGGCCTGAAGCACGTAACAATAATTTATAAGTGTGCTCGTCGCTTTGTAACCTATAGATCTCTTATTTTTTAATGGCATTGGATATTTTTAGATTTTTTGATAGATATTTTTTCTCTGAATACAATGATGTAAATGAAGTTGACTTTCGTGCATAATTAGTTGAGAAGAAATTGATTATTCATTAGACTTTTTCTAGTTCGTTGTTTTCTAAGATAGTAATTTTTTCTCAGTTAATCGTTCTCTCAACATTATCAAGTCTTTTTTCATGAGGAACGAGTTCAACCTTCGATGAATCAATAGAAAATTCGATGGAAAGATCCATTTCTTGTCGACAAAGCGAACATTTTTATCAACTAATTTTGCGCGAAAGTCAACTTCCCATACATCATTGTATTCATGAAAAAATCTCTAACAAAAAAAAATTAAGATATCATTTGAACAAGAAGTTGACATTGGGTGTCGTTAGAGTTAAAACTGGAGAAAAAAATCTTGGTGTCACCTTTTAGTATTGTGTTGTTTTTCAAAATGGAATAGATAGCGACGCCATTTTTTCATACTCTCCCCATACTCTTGTTGGATGATTTTTTAGTGATCAAAATGAAATCCGATCGTTCTTCCAACTCAAACGCCCTGTATCTCAAAAACGGAGCGGAACTCTTTTCCTCGAAATAATTATTGTTCTGTCTCTGTCAATTGTCAGAGGTCTGCTACTATGTAGTGGACCATCCTGTATTTCATGATCTTACACACACGAAATATATCGAATTGTTTGGTAACTGCGAAGGAGATATCAATTCTCATTGATTGATTTCTCGAAAGATTGTCTTATCAATACTGAGCATCAAAGCATCGGTTCTTCATGTGAACTCAATATCATGTTTTTCACAGATACATCAACTGCTTTGTACCACGTTTCCATTAGGTTCCTTTTTTGTTTGTCTGTCTTTTTGTTTATCCGCTCCAATTTTTTTCAATGACTAGGTTATTCAATCATGATTTTTTGACATACGCCAGTTATACATACTTTCATTGAGATTGTTTCAACTCACCAATACTTTCCTTGCTCTGAGCACCAACAAAATTATACTCTAGTTCATGTGGAATCATATCCAAATATAAACTAAGTTTATTCGTCCTCTTATGATGGAAATGGTCTCTCTAAATAACTAATCAGTACATACTAGACTTGATAAAGCATGTTGAACTTTATATGTGAATCAGTTACATGATATAAAATTTTCCTGCATCCTGTAGATATAACATATCTACTTTTCTATTACATGATTCAATTTTGCATTGAATGATCGAAACTAAAAATTATTTGACACTCATCATGATCATCAATGATAATTTTCAGCTTACACTCACACCATCTCAATCATATCGAAATGTGATAAATGAAAATCATCTTGGAACACAAAAATTATTGAACCCAACTAAAGGATCATATTGCCGATTATCTTGAGTATTTCAAAATCGAACTTTTCAAAGTACTAGGTCATTTCAGTACATTCTTGAACCTTCAGGAATATTCTATATCATTTCATTACCATTCCAGCCTTGTAGGTTATTCCATGACTAAAAGTGGCGACCATACCAAATGGATTGAAATAGTCATAGAAAAATCCCATTCTCTTAAAAATGTTGCAGAAATGTTGTGGGCTCTCTAGACAAATCGAATGGAAGTATTGATGATGTTTGATGATTATCAGAGATTATAATAATTTATTGTAGTAGTATTGAATAACAATGGCGTAGATTCTCTCCAAATGAACCTTCTTTCATCGAATGTTTCAGTTTATATTTGCAAATCGGCAAGAGGCTTTAGTAATTAGACCAATGCTTCTTCTTTTATACACTACGTGTTGGGATTTTTTTTCATCTTTTAGGATCAGATTTTTTTTGAGAATGTGTAGCACACCGAGGATCTTTGAATGAAATTTTTCCAAAATTCATTATTGAAGAATGCAGTATCTTCTCTTTTTGAACCCTCATGTTCTTTGCCTCGACTTGACATAATCTTGTTGAAAACAGAACTTCACTTTAGCAGTTCAGCAACCTGAAATCACGTGTGCTGAAATTCTCAGAAAAGAATTTGGATCTTGACAGTATATTCAAAGAATTCGAAATACTTCTGATTATTCTGTAATAACTCCTTATAAGTTGATTGCACATGGAAGTGAACAACGCAAAACTCGTGCAGACGAGAGACATTTAAAACTATAGATAAGATGGCATTAAGGCTGAGAAACGTGACAAAACTCGCCTATACCTGAGGTCTAGGGGGTTAGGAATAGATAGCAGTGGGTGGTTACAAAAAAGTCGTAAATCAACAAGCATCCTTTTTAGAAAAGGACAACTCACCCGGTTCGCCAGATTCCTAGCGGAAAGTATTCTACCTATATTCATCGGGTAGTCCGGTCATAGAATCTTACTTGATAACACCTTGATTGTGTTATATCCTTGGTTATATCCATTACGTTTACATATGTTATGAAGACTTACGACACTCTTCATTGGTCGAGGGGTGTGGAAACATTAGGATTTTTTGTATTCTCTGATTGGGTTGATATATCATGTTCTTTGGAATATGAAAGGGAAATTAGATCATCTAAATATTATACAAAAATCATTCGACCGCACTAAATAAACCGTATGAAATAAACTATTGAATATGGACGATCCAAAGTTATGACAATTATCTCTTGATCAATTGAGTTTCCATTGATCAGGTAATTACTCAATGACCCACTTAATTTTGTGTCACACTTTCGATTCCAATGGAAATGAATGTCTTTATTGAACAAAAACTCTATTTCCTATTCCATTTGTTCATCAGCATTTTAGTTTTTCTTTTCCTGCTTTTTGAGGATTGCTTCTATTACCTACATATTCTGGATCCCGAATATCTAAACCTCGATTGGTTCGACTGTCTACTAATTCCGGAATCATACAATCCATATAGAAGGCTATCAACTTTTCAATTTCCAGAATTCTTCGCACCTCTGGATTGACTCAAATTTCAAGCCTTTGCTTGTCCAAATACAAATCAAACAATAGTTTCGCCTTGTCACGTGCAGTTGTCCCTGAATTTGGTAATACCAGTTATGATTCTTATCTATAGTTTGATCTGTCTTTGCGCTGTTCAATACCCTCATCTGGTGTTGATCGTCTTGACGCATATGGACACTTGATTTCAACCAGGCCATCATCATCTATGAGTCCATCAGGCGAGGCAGCTATGAACGGAAAATCCCTGTCTATGAACAGACCACAAGGTTCCACTCTTTCTACAATAGTTTCTTCTAAATCTTTGATGGCTTCTTTTTCATGGTTTCATTCAACGATCCAGAAAAAATTTCTTTGGGGTGAATTATTGTCTTAACCAAAATTTTTTCTAGATGTATGAGGTTGTTTTCTACAGATTTCTCCAAATTTGGATGTGGTGATGCGTTTTTTTCTTTCATTCCAAAATTTGGAATTCGCTTGGGAGCGAGTTGAATATTCAATTTCTTCCATTTCCTTGGGAGAAAAATTCAACATACCGAGAAAATGCTGTTTCGCAGAGTTGAACTGATCGTCATTCATATCAGGTTTCTTGCAATTAAGGCCATAATGTTTATCATTGACCTTCTTGAAATGCCTCAGTTTTTTTTATGATATTTTCTATCTATATTTGATAGCCTTCTTTCTACTGATTCCTCATTTTTTTTCTGTATGTATAATTTTGTATGATACCCCAATTTACCCAAGCCAAGAGTTTTGTCAACTTTGTCAATGTTCTCTATTATGCTATTAAACTGTTCAACCGTATTATTATCCACATAAATTAGACTGTTGGCATGATTTGCAATAGATCTCACGTATCCCATCAATTTATCATATAATGCTGAAAATTGAAATCAATCAATAATTGAATTTTCGAAATGGAAAGGATGAAAAATCCTAAAAGGCGAAAAACGAGGATGAGTAATTATACATGGTGATTCACCAAAGGTTGCGAAACATTATCATGTGGATTCTTTCCACCAAAGTAAGTTTGAATGATGCAAATTCTAACTGAACGGTGATTTAAAAATATTATCATTATTATTTTCAACTATTTGCTGTATCCACATGAATATCTCATCCCTCCGTTAGATGATATTCTCAAACATATTAAACTGCCCTAGCGCAATTTTTATGTTCCCCAAATATGTGACTTGGACTATTCAATATTTATCTCTCTTCAGGTTCTTCACGTTCTCCTTCATTGAATCATTTTGAGATTTTCCATACTTGACTGCTTCTGTAATGGCTCATCTGAACCGCAATTCATTCTTCTACAACACTTGGTGATTGATATAGATATATCATGCGTATATTATGCGTGTAATCTTTCTCACTATCTATGAATATAGAGCAGATAATAATAAATCTACAATTTTATCGTATTAAAGTTTGATTAAAATATTACGTGGAGTTGATAGCATTACCTGAGTATCAAGGGTCCAGCATTCGTATCTTTAGCAAGCTCTCTGATTTTGTTGATATAGTTCCTCAACAAATGATTACGGTATTCTATTTCCTTCACAGTGATGCCATATTTTCGATAAGGATTTGAGTCCAACAGCTGCTGTCACCGTCTGCGATCATTTCATGGTGAATCATACCATGCATATCTAAACTTTTTTGGAAACCTCCACATATTATATCCGATTCCATAGCACAAGATGACCCTGCCCAATTTCTATAAAATGCATGTTTCTTAGCCTCTTCCTGTTCTTTTTCTTCATTTTTGCAAATAATGCAGAATTTGTTCCTCACAGATAAAAACAAAACCTTTTTAGTATGAAAGCCAACAATAGCAGCTGCTCCACTCAAAGAATTGGAATTAGTCCGATAAGACTTCTTCGCCCAAACTCCATCACACACTACAATAACAAGAGGGATTCCATCTGGTGTTATATTGCCAGCATTAATTGCTAATTCACTTTCTTCGGCAGCAGCTGCCATCATTATTTCAAGAGCTGTTTCTTCATATGCGGATGGAACCTCCTCATGTGATTTATTATAAGTTGATTGTGAAAATGAAGGGGCATTCAAAGCAGAAGTAATTTCCTTCAAATGGCTATATCCTGAGCCAACACTCATTGTTCCAATAACAGCACTATGATTTACATCGATTGAATCATATATAGTTTCCAGTTCTTGCTCCAGGTTGCACAAGTTGCACTTCATTTTTATGGTAGAAGCCAGACCATTCCGTTTTTCTCTAATGATAACCATATTATTCAGAGTACAACCCGAATGAGGTACATGGTTTTCTATGATCATCAGTGATTCTATCAAATATGCAATATCAACCACTCGCTTTTCTTCCAACACACACTCAGAATGAGATCCATCTTGTGATTTTCTCGAGATTTTCTCAACATTTCCTACAGGTTTTTCGCCCTGCTGTATACAAACATCTACACCACCCTCTTGATCAGTATGTTCATAAATGGCACTATCACTTGCGAGATTACACAAATATATCTCGTCATCAGAATCCATATTCATCAAATGATCAGCATTATTCACTAAAGCAATATCTTCATGGTTTTCATCAATGTTTATTGAGGAGGATAACCCAATATCAGTATCCTCATTAACAACATTCCACCTATTGAGAGTTCTAATACCATTTATTATACAGTAAAAATAATCAGTTTCGGAAATATCCTCTGGGTGTTGAGATATATTGGTATCTTCCTCAGATGAAGAAAGGGACATAGATGCGTAACCTGATGTAATTTTTGTGAAGCCAAAATGGTATGAAGTGGGGTGAAGAGGGAGGCAATGTTTACGTTTACATTCCCTCTGTGACAGGGGCGTCGGCGTATCATATTTTTAAAGGGTCATCTCTGCATATGAAGAAGTTGACTATGTGAATTTAATCCAATGCAGACAATAGCAGAGCAAATTACTAGACTCATTACTCTACCTCAGGAAAATACTTGTAACCATACTGCAGTCACCTTTGTGGATCCTTAGACTTCCTTATTTGATTCGACCTACTTTCTCAAAATGTGGTGATTTAAAAAATACAAAAATGAGCACATCAAATATGTGTAGTTTTTTTGTTTAGTTTTTAATAATAACATGAATATTTCTATACTGCATATAATTCAATTGATTATTATTGAAAAATAGTATCTTG